GCAGCAGCAGCGGCCTGCCCGAACGCAAATCGCTCGGCGGCAACAGGCTCCTCCGCCAAGCCACGCCACCCCACGTCTCAATTCGCTGAAGGGAAAGCACCAGGGCTTGGGGCCGCGACACACGGAAGCGGGAATTGGGGGGAGGGGCTGGCGCGCACAAAACGCGTCGTAGGGGGCGAACAAGTCGCAGAGGGGGTGGACGGGCACCAACGGGGCACACGGGGGCTCATACAACGGGCCGGGAGCCGGCACCGGCCCGAGGGGGTGTTCGCCGGACTAGCCGAGCCGCGGGCGCCGCAGGGCCCGGGGCACCCCTCCACGCACCATCAGGAGGCCATCTCGAGTGCGGGCAGTTGCAGAATGGGCGGCTGGCGGGCCAAGCGAGCCGGCGATGCTGCGGTCGCCCTCGTCCTGCGTCCCCAAGGCAGGGTGTTGCTCAAGAAGGGCCCCAGAGGAGCGGGAGGGGGGCGCGGGGCCCGGCCGCGCCGGGGGACTCGAGCAAGGAACGATGAACGTGTGTGTGTGTGTGTGTTACAGGGATTGGGCACATTAATGTGCTGGGGCCGAACCCACTAACCCTGCCGGCTGTCCAGAGCGAGGAAAATCTGGCCGCCGATGGCATCCCGGGGAGGCTCCGTCTTGCAAGCGCCATGCCGGTCTGCCGGGCAGCCGTCCGCCGCCCAGATGCCGCCACGAAGGTGCCGTGAGGCAAAGTCCCAGCTAGTGTCCCGGCTGGGGTTCGAACAACGGGGGGCGTTTTTCGGGGCACCCACTCTTTATAGTTGCACGAAAAACCATCTTCCGCACTTCGCACCCACGTCGAATTAGTATAGTGGTTAGTATCCCTGCCTGTCACGCAGGAGGCCGGGGTTCGATTCCCCGATTCGGCGTGTGACGTGGGTCCTGCAGGGCTCAGCATTTTGCCCCAGATGCCCCCAAAGGCGGGTCCCCCTCCTTTTGCTACCCCCTTTTGGGGCCTTCCGGCAGCTGAAGGGGCCTCTGGGGAGCCCTCTTGCCCAAGCCCCTCTCCCGCCTCCCGCCCCGACCCCGTGTGCCGCCAAGTAGGGTTGCCTCGCGCTCCTCTCCGCCTGCTGCTCCCCGCCAACCTCGTGCGGCGCCGCACGAGGTGGGAGCCCCACCCGCTGCCGCCGCCACCCGCCGCCGCCACCCCAACCGCTCCCCAGGGGTCGGGGTGGTGGGGGGGCGAGGGGGGTGGGCGGGAGGGCGCCGCCGAGGC